TGGCATAAATGAGGTTTCTCTGTCTGCAGAGTGGTGCATCACAAGGAATACTGTCTGTGAGCAGTTCTCTATTAAACAGAGAAAATAACATTGAGCTCGCAATCTCACTGAAAAAGGGATTACAATTTAGGGTAGGATATCCTTATCTTCTGTCCTGACTGTAAAGCAATAAATGAGACACAGGAAAGTGTCAGCATTCTAATTTTTCTAAACACTAAAGAATACAGTAAAATGTCAAAAGTAACTCCATGGCAAATGGAGTTTTTTTCTTCTTTTTTTTTTAAGTTTTTCTGGCCAAACTGAGACTTTCTTTCTGGATTTTTAGTTTGGCTTCATGGTCTTAGATATATGGAGCACCATCAATATTGCCAATGCATTTCTCTCTGTTCCTTTGGCTGCAAGCAGCTTCTAGTTTGCTGTGTTAGGCACTTTCTTATAAGCCATCAAAATAAAGCCATCAAGGCAAACACATTCCATGAAATTATGGAGCTGCACCACTGGTTTAAGCACCCATTATGCTTAAACACAGCCCAAAACAAAAGTACATGGTTTACAGCTATAGTACAGCCACAAGTCACACCTAAACACCACATCTGTACCTCAAACATAGATCCTTACAAGCCATCAACCAAACAAGCATCATCACCCACACTGATAGAAATCAGAAATCTTTTAGGGCCCAGAAAATTTCGATAAAATTGTGAACTCCACACAGAAGAAAAATAATTTTTTATTACCCCTGCATTTCTGAAAGAATTCAGAAAGCATGTTAAGAACCTACAGCAAAATACGGTATCTCATTTTCTCCTACACAAGTAGCCTACTACCACTGTGCAGAATTAATCTTCAGATTTTCAACTTTCCATGCCAGAACAGTAACATCAGACAGCTGAGCTATTGACACACCTTTATCTGAAAGGAGGGAAAAATTATTTTCAAGTCCCTTAAAAATAATTACCAAACCCAACAAATGTAAAGAAAATAGCTGACCTAAAAAATACACCCAAGGAAAGCTCAACCATTCTCAAGCTTAATTAGGAAATTCATCATTTTTTATCACTCCCAACAGTAGACATATACCAGATCAACACCTGTACATTCATTAACCAGCTTGAAATGAGCACACTACTTTTACCCTGCTACAAAAACCAGAAGATGCATTATTCTTAAGCCATTCTATTACATTAGATGCATTATTCTTAAGCCATTGTATTAGATTGCTTTGTAACACCACTGCAGTAAGACTGACAATTAACTGCACTTCTAGAAAAAAACTACCACCAGCTACTTCTCCACAATTAAAAAATTCTGCCTTTTACAGCCCTGTTGTTCTACATTCATTTATTGAGTTGCTGCAGTAGAAACATTACGATTGCTATTGAAGTGCATCTTGTTGTGTTTACGGTCCTGTTCTCTGCTCTGAAGCATTCTACTGCAATCAAACTATTCAGTGTCTTGTATCTTTGTCATATTTCACATGTGGACAGAAAGGAATGCACTGCCACAAGAAAAAAAAAAAAGAAAAAAGAGGAAAGCTCTGTTTCACATCAGGCTGCTTCTAAGGAGTTGTATGTTGTTGTTCAGAAAAAAAAAATTGGAATACAGCATCTCAATAGTAATGTTCAAATAATATTCAGAAAACTGTCCTTTTAGCTAAAAGTAGGGAGGTCTCACTAGACAAGATCATCTGGACCATAATTACTGACCCCAACAACTGCCCTCATGTAGGATTCACTTCTACAAGCAGCATTCCAGACTGTCCAGGTGTTTGGGGCCACAAAAGCAAGAAGTGGCCACAGAATAACACCCTGAGCTTACTGTGCACTGTGTCTACTCCCTGAACTCCCAGTGAAACTCATTTCTGATGTTGTCTTCAGCATCATTTGAAAAAAAAAAAAAAAAAAATCAACTTATAACATCACATTCAATGTGCCAAAAACAAAATGTCAAAGGAAATGTGAAAGTGGACAGGAAAACACCAATTTCATATTTTTTATCAAGCTAAAATAATCTTCAAAAGTGTTCCTCTTTGCATTTTGAGAGACTGATTTTAGAGCAGTAATTTTTGCTCACACCATTAAAACATACATGTTTAACTGGATAGACAAATGCAATTCAATCTTAGGACCTCTTTGGCACCACAACTGACCAGAAATATGAGTAAGACTTATCATTGTGTCTCAAAGCCATACCAAAATCCAGTTTAGATAATGCAGAAAAGATAATTCATTTCAAAATCATGAATTTTCTGTAATCTTATGGCAATTTGATTGATGTGTATGATTTTAGACCAAGTTTAGAAGTTACATACAATTATGAAATAATGGTGATAGCTGTGTACTTTCTTCTTGTTATCAAGTAAGAAAAGATTACAGGTTGCCTTAACATAGCTTAACTCATTAATTCATATTTGTCTGCAATGAGGCTTGAAGACATGTGAGATCTTTCCCAACAATCCCCATAACATGATGCAGAAAGGATGGCATCACTGCCTGACAAGGAACAAAAACCCATGAGCTGTCCACCTCTGCAAGATGTACTGTGCTCACTCATTTCAGCACCAATGCATGAAACAGAGCACAAACTTGGACAAAAATAAACCCTCATGATGAAAAACTCTGTCCTGCAAAGTTAATATTTTGCCTTAGCTAAGCAATTTCACATGGAAAGATACTGCACTCTGATTTTTTGCGAGAAAAAACCAGTCCTGCAATCCTGCCTTGTTGGGTCTAACCAACTAATGAGGCATGGGTTTGCAACAAGCATTAATTGCCTTGTGCTGAAGGAGATGAAAGCACAATTTCTTCCCAGAAAATGGCATGTTGTCATCAGTGCATGCTTGAAACTTCCTCTGTGTGCTGTTGAAATGCTGAACTCTATCTTCTCCACAGCCAGGTTAAAACCAAGTGACTGCTGACGAGAACAGACCAGGACTTTCACAAATCTGCAGCTCTACAAAAGAATTTCAGCCTCCTTTGTAATGGGATGACCAATCTGGTACCAAAACTCACTTTGCAACACATACCATAGCTGGGTACAACTTTAACTGGAATTTCCCTCCCACTGATCATTTTCATCTCTCATTACCTAAGAACATAAACCATCACAGGCCACAACATGGTGCTCTTACAATAATATACACATTCCTCAGAATTACGATTTTCATAATTAGCATCCACATGCCAATTTCAACTTCTTGATACTCTTTACAACTATTTTTTTAAAGTTGAGGGAGGATTTGAATTTATTAGTTTTTTTGACAACTATCCAGAATTAACTACGCTTCGTTTCTCATAGTGGTTAACATTTGCTCAGGATGATAAGGACTCAATTTTAGTGCTCTACACTAAATGTCTTAACTACTATGACTGTTCAGGCAGTTTTTAACTTTCCATATCTCTTTTCTGTACAGATTAATCTGCACAAGCTCATTGAAGATACAAACCTGCATCTACAAAAGCTGGTTTGGTACTCCCTCTCCATTTCAACTCTTCTTCCAAGGATGCATCACTCTTTAATGAGCATAAAATTATTAATCCAAATTAATTCACATAACTGCCAGTGAAAGTTTCCTTAAACCTTTTAATTAAATCAGAAGAATTGAACCACAATATATTCCTCCAAGGGCTATATTCCAAAGCACATCAGCATGGCTGATATGGACCAGCACTGTGGAAGCCCTAACCAGAAACATTACCAAAAAAAAGTTGTCCCAATAAAAACCCATTCTGAAGTAAGGAAGTTACTGGATAATTGAAGCAATTTCCTGATTTATCCTGCATTCAGACATTTTCCTGTTCAGAAATTTTCAATTATTTTTTGCCTGTGTATGCAGCTCCTGCTGCCCCCTTACTTGACTATGTAGCAGGCACGATTTTTTTTTTTTTTTTTCACATGTCAGTGAATACCTTATGTTTTAAGCCTTAAAACATTCAATGATTCTGCAAAAGGCTGCTTTGATGCCCATTTTACAGGATACAAAGCATAAAGGAAAAAGTCACATTTTTCTGAAAAATGTACACATGTATATCCTCCAAAAACATGCTTTAAATACTCATTACTATTTATTACACACTTATTTCTGTGTTATTATCCCAACACGGCAGAGAAATATCACAGTCAAAATCTCAGCTTGGTTTACTGATGAGGAACTGGAAGTTGAGCAGTGTAAACAGCAGTATCATAATAGATCTGCTCTGTACCCAACATTAATTTCTCATCTGTGTACATCAAGATGTACAATGGGATAAGAGGTCTCAGCTTTACCTTTTCTTTGCTGAACTGACAACACAGACAATAATATACTGTCTCTGAGCAAGTGAGCACAGCACATTACCTTATCAGAACACGGCAAGCTCAGATCAGGTTTATTTTGTAGCTGCAATTAATTTTGTTCATATTTTCTCGCTTTCACAGAAAGGAATTATTCTAGATTGCTGCAACTTTTTATACATTTACTGGCATTGATTAACAATACAATATCTCACAGTAAAAAAAGTCAGTCCCTGGTCATTATTCAGGTATAGAATCCTGAAATGAGATTGTTCAAGTGTTTTGCACTCCAGAAGGGAAAATGTTAGCAATTCTCAGCTTCACCTGTTTGCCTTTACAGTGAAATAGAGCCTGTCTGGTTTAACTGCTCTATATATAAAGCTTACATTTGTCACTGCCTTGTTACACCCCGCAAAGCTGTGGGTCAATTACACAGAGGCATAAAAAAAACCAAAAAAACACAAAAATCGACCAACCAGCCAAAAAAAAAAAAAAAAACAAGAAAAACCAACCAAAAGACCCAAACAAACAAACAAACAACAAGCATCACATTCAGTCTTGAGACGATCAGGAGCCGGAGCGAGACAGAAAAGAATCAGAGACGATCTTTGCTCTAAACTTAACACCCCAGCAAGACCTGAAATCTGTATTATTTCTCTTCCAAGCACTGAACATGAGCCAGGAAACGAAGCAGGAGCACTGTGAGGAAAGGAGCTGGCGGTACTCACCTAGTGCCAAGGACCAGAGCAGGGAACAGAGGCAGCACGTAACAAGCAGCGATGAATTTCATCCCGGCCCTTCTCACAGCGCCTCCGTCCGCGTCTCCTCCAGCCTCGCCTCGCCCGGGGCGCTGGGGACAGGCTCCGGCAGGGCAGACAGACAGACAGACGGCGGGAGGGAGGGAGCTCGGGCAGCGGGGATGGAGCTCCGGCAGCGGGGATGGAGCTCCGGCAGCGGTACGAGGGCACAGCGGCAGCCCCGAGCCCGCCCCGCCGCTCCAGCGCCGGCGGCTGCGCCAGGACGCGCCCCTGAGGGGCGGCCCGGCGGGGATTACGGCGTGAGGCTGGCAGCTCCATCCCACCGGAACGGCCGGGAAAGCCTGCCTGGAACAGAATAAAAATAATTAAAAAAAATAACGAGAAAGGCGCAGTTAAACCAGCAGCGGTGTTTTGCTGTTAGTGTCTCTGTGTGATGCGACTATAACACAGGAGCTGTTCCAAGGGGTGTCGAGCCCCAGAGCAGCCCGGAGCCTCGTGTCATTTCTGCAAAGCTGGAACACACCAGCTGCTGATTCAGTCAGGTGTCATTCACCCCGTGTCGAGTTGGAGGTAGGAGCACAAAGAGCTTCCAGAATGGGACTGAGAACAAGGTCATCGCTTAAAGCCCTTCATCACCTGAAACAACGGACAAGACCTTCAAAGAAATAAATACCCTTCTCATGTTTCCTGAGTTCGTATTGTCCCAATCTTAATCATAAATGACATAAATCAGCAAATTTGGTTACAAGTGTTTTCAGTGTGTAGATAATTGCCTACCTTAAAACAAGTCCATCTGATGGCTAATCATATGAAAGTAAAAGATTTAAACAGAAGGAATCTTTCTCTGCAAGACCGCAAAACCCCAATCAAACAAACTTGTCTGCAAGTGAATGAATTGTGGTCATTACAAGAAACATCTCTGGTCACCTATGGGCATCTCTGCCCTTACAAAAGACATCCAGAAACTACATCATACATCACAAGCATGAAATAAAAATTTCCTAAAACTGGTTACTCATTGCATTCAGCTCCTTATTGCAGAGTAATTTTGTATTCCATCACAGAAAACAGAAATTTGCTGTTTGAAATGAATGGAAGACTTTTTAAATTTAGTATTGTCCCTTAATATGATACGTACATGGTGAATGCAAACAAAATTAATAAATTACATCCTTCAATAGCAAACCAAGAATGATGGGAGGTAAAACAAAAACATAAAAAGGTGATATACACAGCCAAAAAGGAACAAAATAATTAATTTCTGACTTTGTGTCCCAACTTTAGTATCTTTCTCAGCACACCTGGCAGCACATTCTATTCAACCACATTAATTTAAATCTTTATTTATTGTTATTTTGATGCTACATACCAGCTTGAATGAACAGTCATGTTACCATGGATACTTATAATAGCATGGTAAAAAGGTCATAAAAAGAACTGTTAGCTAGTCATTTTCCTTCTAGAAAGAGCCAACCTTTCCAGTCTACCAGGCACTTCATAGTAATGTATCAGCAGCTAATACTTCTAATACTTGTGAAAAATGCGTATTTTATGATTGGCTTTTCACAAATATTAAAATTAATATTATATGTGTTATGTTACAAAGTTATGCTATATTAATTTTCTTAAGTAATGTGTTAAATACAGTTTTAGGTTATAACAATGTTAAACTAGACACTGTGCTATGTAAGATACTTTTTGTAAAGAAAGAACTCAGACTGAGATAGCAGCCACAGGATGCCTGAATCTTTCAGAGAAAGAATTTATTGCTCCATTACCAGAAGAAATGAACTTCTTCCTGCCTTGCTCAGCCATGAAGATGCTGTGAGGATTCAGAGGAAGAAACTGACACTGCTCAGAGTGCTCCTGTGTTTGAATGGAATTTATGCATCATGTATGAGGTGTATGAATATGCAACAGGCTGTTGCTTTTAAGGGTTAATCTTCTGCTAACGTGGGGCCTTTTTCGGGCTTCTTTTGCCCAGAAAAGGTAACCGGATGTCCATAACTCTTAGTTTTTATTGTCTCATATTGTCCTAATCCAAATTGCCCAAATTTTTATTACTCTAACTATATTGCTATTTTTATAACTATTTTATTATTATTAAGCATTTAAAATTTTAAAAACAAGTGATTGGTGTTTTTCACACTTTTCTGTGCATTCATACAGGGTGGAACAGAGGGGAAGGTGCTAGTGCATCAAGTAAAAAAATGCTGAGTGATCTTAAGTAATCTTGTGAAATTTTGCAATTTCAGGGAGTTAATTTTTTAATTTTATTACTGCTCTGCCTCTTTGTTTGGGAAGGGGGGGGATGGAATACAGAGGCCTACACAACTGCTGCTTCTTGGTTTCACCTCAAGGCCTGCATGGGAGAATTATCTCCACAAGAGGTGAAGCTCTCATGCTCCCCAGCACTGCTGCTTTAGCCCTGCTCTGAAGTGAACACCCTATAAAGGCTGGCACAGCTCAGTTTGAGCCTCTAAACTCCTCAAGAACTCAGCACACAGGGTTTATAGCAAGATTTCCCAACTCAGGTGGGCCCATGGGAACCCCCAGTCGACTCAAGCACACATACACACAGCCAGGCTAAGCAGACACTGCACCCCTAAATGCTGAGCTAGACACAGGTACAATTGTATCACTGTGCAGATAATGCTTAGCAGTGAATGCATGTGGGACAAAAGGAAAATCTGCTCTTCTAGAGGTAAATTTCTATAATTAAGGGCTGGGCACTTAATCTTCAATGCTGTTCTTGTCAGACCTGGTTGTACTCCAGCTGTTTGCCTAAAGACACAAAAAACCATCCTTTTCCTCCCTCCTATTGAGATAAATGACCTTGATCTTCACAAGTTGGAGGGGGGTTTGTGTTTTGGTTGGTTGGTCAGTTGTTTATGTGAAAAACAAGGTTCACGCTCCTGGTAAAATTTCAATGTTTAATAAAGGAAAATAGGATATGGAAATAAAGCAGTTTTACTTTTTTTTTTTTTTTTTACTTTCATCCACTAATACTTTTCTTATTGGCAGAAAGGGGTTGTTGGAACCCTTTTATTTTTAGACAAAACACTCATTCCAATGTGGTTTTCCTCCTAAACTTGTCTCTAAACCAGGACAGTAATTCATTTTGAAGTGTTCGCTCCCTTAACTTGTCTTAAACCAAGACACTCCCCCATTTACTTATTTTAGACAAAGTAGAACGAAAAATTATGCTCATGTAAGTATAGAAGCTGTTATAAATGCTAAAAGAAAAAAATTAATTTAAAAAAGACTTCATAAGGCTGCTTTTAAGGTATCTGAGAAACCTGAAAGGCTAATGTGGATAAACACAGTGAAAAAGGTAAAGAGAAAAGCCCTCCCTTGCTGTGTGGGGGTCGCTGCAGGACAAGACACTAGAAGTGTGAAAGGCACCACCCCACACATGCTCAGTTTTCAAGACCTTACAGAAGTAAAGTTGGCAAGATAGCAAAACAGTACAGATGAGACTTATTTTCCAAAAACCGAGTTGGAATTCTGATGATTAAACTGATGCTGAAATGAATGCAGCCTAAATCCCATGATAACCAGCCAGATATATAGGGTTTTGGGGTTTTTTTTCCCCAAGATAAACACCTTTTTATTCTACAAAAATATTCTGCTTTTATTACTTTAATTCATAAATATGAATCTTCATTCAAATGGCCAACAACACAAGGGACTGTGTCAGGGTGCAAGCTAGAAGTCAGCCTCCATGAAGTTACCTTATGGATAGGTGAACTGCTGCATTTCTTTCAAAAAAAATTAGGATTTTTTCAATGGAGAACCTAACCTCTAACCACTATTTTTGTGGAGATATATAGTAGATATTTTTGCCCCTGATGTCCGGGAGGAATGATGAGGTGCACTCCATCTTGTCAGAAGGCTAATTAGTTACTTTGTTATACTATATTACATTACATCTGAACTAGATCTGCCCAGCATCTGTGACTGTCAGTGACAGTCCCACACACACCTGGATCCAACTGGATCACCCCAGAATCCAGTCACCAATTCCCTTCAGGTAAACCATCTTCCACAATGCATCCCACTTGTGAGCAACACAGGAGCAGCAAATGAGATAAGAATTGGTTTTTGTTTTTCCTTCCTCTGAGGTTCAGAGAATGTGAATCCCAGAAATATCCTTGGGAAGAACTGTGCCTTGCATTTCTGTGTGAAGAGAAATGTGGCCACAGAGATACTCAGGCTACAAGGTTGGAGAAGGGATATGACTTTTTTTTTCATGGCAAGGAACTGGATCATGAAAAAGCTCACACAAAGAAGTCAGGCATTAAAGCACTGCACAGAGCATGGCATGTACACACACAACTGTGCAGCTTTCAAATTCCATTCTTTAACCACAATAGGTTCTGTGGAAGAGTAATTTGTTTGAACTATGCATGAGGTAGAATGATTTGGCTCTCAGTACACTGGCATTTTTATAAAACCCTCTAGAAAATGTGCTTTTTAGTGTAATTCACTAGAAAAACTGAGTCTTCATTCTACCTGTATTGAACAGTTTTTTGTGATATAGAGCACTTGACATTTAGCACACTTGAGACATTTAATCCACTTCTGTTTAAAATAGGGACCAAACACATTCCAGCAGAATTTCAAAGGTGATAACACCTTGCTAAGCCCACCAACAGTGAGTTTCCTAAAGGTCTGCCTAAAGACACATGATAAATACATATTATATCACTCTATTACATAATTTACATTTACAAAACCAAATTTACATTTGGAACCAGCTGATCCTATCTTTTCACCTGAATTTGTGGTTATATTCACTTACATCACCTGAACTAAAAAGATAGCAAAAACCCCCAAACTTTTCTGACACTTCTAGATCAGTCTTTCTGAAATTTTATTCTGTGTCTTTCTCACAGTAGGTAGGGGTAAGTAGCTCTGAATTTAGTCTGGGGTTTTTTCATATTTTACAATAAGCTGTTGAAAGACTGGCAACATAACAGGCCTACTTCAAAAAGGGATCATATTTTGTAGCCAAGATACCATTTCAAGGCTGTCCTATATGAAGACAGCTGGAATAAAAATTAGGGAAAATAGGAAAAATAACCCCAAAACAAAAACATAATATAAAATAATTTACTATAAAGAACTATTTAGATCATCACATTATCTGCAAATCTGCTCTGACACATTTTTGCTCATCTAGTCTTAGACTCCATCTATGTTGAAGGCATAATGGAGTGTTTTGGTTTCTACATAAAGCAGCAGTTATGGAAGGAGATGGCTTGGATTCTTAGCAAGTAAGGCTGAGTGTCCATGTTACTTCAGCCTCAAAACCAAACAACATAATTTTTGTATTCCTTTTGAATTATCAA